GAAAATCTACGTATCTTCCCCCCCTCTGTTTTCAGTTATCCCCTTACCCTTTTTTCCTTTCTTTCTTTTTTTTTTATTTGGCAATGACTCCATCTTCCAATATATGATATCAATCAAGATAGTCAATGGTGTAATTATTACCCACCCTTAGGGGGGCGAACATCCCTTCCTCTTTCTCGATTCTGGAAACAGTGACAGCTCGAGGCTCTAGGTAGGAGAAGGTTAAGCGGCGTGAGTTCCGGCACAACAGGATGGCCAGACGGCGTTGGTGCCGGAATCCATGGGAATCAAGACGGCCCCTGAAGCCCCGACCCACCGCCAGGTAATGCAGATGGCGCAATGAAACTGTATCCATACGGTATGGTGTCTTTTTGGCGTATCATCGTGACAGCAATTTACCATAGTTGTGTTTATGTTGCTTCGGAACGGCATGCAGGGATAATTCTCCTCATTCTTGAAGCCTGAAGACTGTCTCTCAACACCCGCCGCAGATATGGTCGTGGCCAGGGTAAAAATGCGTCGCTATGCAGTCTATGGCGGTTGTTACCATCTTGATCTTGTTTGTTTATGTTCATGGAGTACAGTGAGCCCCTCAAGGAGGAGGGGATGTTTGGTTCAACTGCTTTTTTCGGGCACTGCTTCGTTCCTGATCCAAGACCTGGCACCCATGGTTGCCCTGTTGTATCTGGTGTGTCAGCATAATCACCTCTTCGGCGTAACGAGGTATCTCAGTAGACTATTCCATATTCGATGCCAATGTAAGCATTACTTGCGGGAGGGAATGGACTATAGAACTACCATACAGAGCTTTTACATCCGTCAGACGACTTTCACTCAGCGGAGGTATTATCGGATACTCAGGAACTCCGTACATACATCCACGCTGCGGTTTCATTCTCAATCGAGCGTGAAGACTTTGCACGACTTAATTCCATTTGCATCTATTATTCGCCGCTTGGATTTGCTACCCATTGGCAGTACGTAACCTGGTAGTTCGAAAACAAACAAGTAAGCGTCAGTCGATTTGCCACGGTGGGAAGCTATATTCACTGCTAGCCGCTTGAGAGGCCACTCCGAACCATAACCGCTGATTAAGGTAGGTAGGTAGGTAACATTTCCATTTTTACTTTTTTCCAATTATATCTTCCCCCCCCCCCCCCCCTTGCCACCAATAGTTCATACTCGGCGGCTATCTCACATTGACGGGTAATCGGCCCTACAAAGTAGTACTAGAGGACGGGGTCCTCCGTCCAACTATCAAATCAAGTGTGCTATTCTTGTGGTTGACCCCGATGAACCCGCCTCGCGAGGGTGGATGCAAACGGGTACTACTTACACAGAGAGGGTAGATCAAACTTTATATAGAGTGGAAGAAATAAGACGCATGACATGGTGGCTTTATCGGAGGTGGCAATACGAATCTCTTGGGTTACTCAAACTGGGTGGATGTTCATTCAAGGTTAATGGGATGCAACTCCAATAGCAGAGGACTTGCAGGAATGCAGAGTATGGGGTTATGCAGTGGATTGTTTCCCATTCCTGAGGGCAATAAACAACAATAGGAGAAGAAGCCATGCCATACTTGTTGTCCCAGCCACAAGAAACCATTTCATCCATTACGGAGTAGTAGTTAACTATGCCGGGTGGTTCCGCTCGTTGATTTGGTTCATGAGGACAGGACAGGTCCTGAGAGGACAAGGTAAATTCCTAGTTGACCTGGCCCTTGGGGATTTGGGTGCCTTGAGTCATGGATCCCAATATTAATGTAGATTTGATTTAATCCACCTGACGATGATAGACCCTGATGCCTTCTTTTGCTTGCTTCTGCTTGTCTGATCGATGGATGAGATCCCGTCAGCAGCAAATTTGTGGTACTGTCAATTGGGGAGAATTGAAAGTTACCTTACACGGAATACCTGTCAGCCACTTTACCTGCATGATAAACTGCGTAACGCAACTCAGCAAACCATGCGTTGACACCACATAAGCAAGTGACCCGTTTTTTTCCCAGATAATAATGTAAGCATCAAACCACTAAGATTGAAGTGTTCGAGGCAAGCGAACCCCCCACCTACACATTAGACCCAACTTTGAGCCTTGGTAGACTTGGGTGGTTTCTTGCTTTTCTTTCGGTGCCTTCTTTGCTTCCTTGAAGGACTTCCGACAATATCTTGTTTCTGATTGGCAAGCTAAGGTTATCTTTGGGCCTTCTCGGGATATCGTAAGAGATAATCAGGCTAGATGATCGACAAGACAATGTGGTCTGCCTTCTTCCCAGCCTTTTTTTCTCACTACACTGCGGGAAGGCTGGGAGAGCATAGCGGTGGATACACACTAAGTGCTTAGCAGCCGACTACTGTATCTGCTTCATCTTAGACATTTTTCTTTCGCTTGTCGCCGGGAAAGCTGTGCTCCGGGCGGTGTTAACTGTTAAGAGGGGAAGAGTTCTAGAAGGATAGACTGGTCCCCTCCTTGTGTGGGAATGACTGCTGAACGTGAAGCTTGTGCATCCACCAAGTTATCTAGTATCTACAGGGTGTACGCAACATGTCGATACCTAAACGATAGAGTCGGCTCCCAGTTAAGATTCGGGCGAACATCACCCAGAAAGGCAACTCTTTTTTTTTTCTTTTAAGACTTTTTCCGCCATAATGCAGGTCAAAAGCATGCACTTCTGAAAATTGTCTCCGAAATCTGTCGGTGACATGAATAAACACCTGCACCGAGATCGAAGGGCAACCAAGCAACCCTCGGAGCCATGGTTCCGGCTACTGCTGCACCACCGGTTGAAGTTCTCACAATATGTGTGTCTCATTTATTCTGCTAAGGTGTTCCCTGGTTCCCTTCTCATGTGGATATATTGTCTACGTTTATAGATTATAGATTGACTTTTTTGGTATTTCTATAACAAATTGAACCTCTGCTATGGGCAGTACTTTTGACACAAATTGAAAATAGTTTCCGGACATACTATGCTGGTGAACCATAGACCAGCTTCCCTATAAATATAAATAAATCTCTGCCCTTGCAGGTAGGATTCAGGAACACGGTCTTTCTCCGAACCCCTCGAGTCTAAACTTCTATTCTAAGTAAATGCAACACAAAATACAATGGAAGAATAATCGATTTGTGGTCGACGAACTTGTGGGCATCCCAATTGACAAGTATCAAGCACCACCATGCAAACGAGTGAGCCTGACATCGCCATAAGACCATAAGCGTGCTCTCAGGCACAGCCATGCGATTGGCATTCAACGGATATTACTTACTTGCTTATGCTGCATATTTTAATTGACTTTCGAGCCATGCAATGATGGAGGTTGGGTGAACCGCCAGGATCCCAGCCGTTCAACCTCATTGCAGCCAACAAATGCAACGATTGATCCATCAATCCATCCATCTTACTCCTCTGTAATAATCTACTACTGTGCTTAGTGTGGAGTATTTACTTACTGTGTAGGATCAGGACACCTTTCCAATACAGGTTTCATAAATGGAGAGAAAAAACCCAGAACCAATCCCTAAACAGAAACTCAGTGGGGCTGGGACATGCGCGACCGGGGAACTGTCCAATCGGACCCGTCCGCCCGACAAAAGGGCCAACGGGTGGCGATTTCTTAACGCCGGACAACTCTCAACTGGCTGAAAGGGCCCGGACTGGTCCAAAAGAGACGACGACGTGGAACTCTTGTCTGGGAAGAGAAAAAAAGGGGGTGTGTGGTTTCAGGTTCCATTTGGCCCGACCTAGAACACTTCCCGGCACCACCAGGGCACCATTTTATCATCCTCCATTAATCGTGCCAATCAGCATGTTGGTTTGGATTCCCCTTTCGTTCTTACAAACTAAACACATCTGGGTTTTGTAAATTGGTATCTTTTGTTTCGATTTACTTTACACCGCTTGGGTTTTGCTAGCCGATGGGGTAACTAACTGTCAAGTACGTAGTTATAGGGTTGGGTTATTATTATCATCTGCCTCGTTAATTATTAATGATCGCTAATGGACTCCTTATCCGCCTCGCTACTCCGTACTAAGATAGATACTTACTACGTAGATACTATCTATATCAATCAATAATTTTGGCTGAACAGGGGGAGTCTCGACTGTCGCGGAACTGAGTCGATACTCGGTAACTCCTGAATAATCATGAAATGGCTCTGGCCGACGGAAAAAGAAGCGATCATCACCATGCACTGCACGGTCGGTCATCTGCTGCATAATTAACCACGGTGCTAATGTAGAGGGAGAGGCAGAGAGAGGAGGTTGGCCATCGTCATCCTATCTGTCCCGTGCTGTCCTGCCACCGACGGTCTCAGTAGGTACAGATGTTAGCAGCCTAGCATCGCCACACCGATATACCACGCTAACCATGTACATCTGCAACTCGATTTCTTGAAACTCAAGATCGGCATGTGTCGAAGCAACATCGGGATCCAGAAGCACGGCAAGTCAAAAAGTTTGTTTGGCTGGGAGTGGGGTGATTAGCAACCTTGCTTGCGCACAGTTGTTCTGTCTGTCTGTCTGATCTGCACGGATGAGATGCTTCTCTCCGCATTCGGTTGTTCGAGTTATCAAGATGCACTGCTGTGTAGCTACGCAATTACCTCCGCAGTTATGGAGTATTTGTGGCTCTTGTGGGTGGTATGATATGCATCTGCGTTTGGTTGGTTCGGTTGCGTTGCACGGTGGAGGCAACGGTATCCCCAAAGCTTGATTTCATGTACACTGTAGGCAGTGAACGGGTTCTGTGTTGGACTGTGCGATGCTGCTCTGGGCGACTTCCTGCTTGATGTCTTAGACCTGATGGATCTAGTGTGACGTGAGTTCTTGTGCATGTGGGTGGATTGTCTCAGCCCGTCTGTTTTGGTTTGTTCGATATCTCTCATGTGCCATATGATGTGGATGTGCTTGGGCTGGCTGGGTTATACCTGTGGTTGCAATGGCTTTGAGTCGCCACACGGTAGTCTATCGAGTATATGCTAGAGAGCTTGGTAAGCCCTTTGGTTGATTGTGTCCTCCGACCATCAATGCTGTGGCTGGTGAGAGTACTATATAGTAGTCTGATGCTTGATAATATATAGTGGTACTATGCCCGTGGGTAGTATGTGATATATGCAAGCCACCCATCCCAGATTTTGCTGTGTAGTCCTTCCGCGACTGAAACCACAATCAGCCATATTCAGTCGGCTGAAGTGTGAGCTACCGGTGGTATATGCCCATGAGCCGTTGTTCCTGCCATGCCTTTCGGACCTGCCGTGGTTGTTTGTTCACCCCGATAGACCTAGGACGTCCAATCTGTTCCCCTGCTCCCCGCTTCCGCATCCCATATTCACCGCATTTATAATGTCCATAGTGATATCATCGTCTGTCCTGGTGACCAGTGTTTCACATGTCTAGTAGGTTCATGCCTGTTGCCCTTGCCGTGCGACGGGGTTGTTATCCACGGCTGGAATACCGTGACTGATCAATATTGTATCCGTATGCCAGTCACCCCAGGGCTTGGTGCCATTAATATCTCTTCCTTGACACCACCGGATACTACTACTATGATATAGCTACCTGCTTTAGTAGCGGGCGTGTGCCGATCTGTTGTATGTATGATGGCCTATATAAAACGATGATGTATATATCTTAACGGCTACCCTTACTAGTAGTACCATAACAATAACACGTGGCAAAGTGTGAGACTTCGGTCATAGAATGAATAAAAATGCTAGTTAGAAGGGAGATAGGCACGCCAATCAATCAGTCATCTAAATTGTGGAAAAACTCGTCTACATGGCCACAGACAAACCTATGGATCGCTGTTCATAATCGACAAGCCATGCCTAGGGTCATAAGTCAAGAAGTTAAGGCTTGAACATATAACAAGCCCGGGTGGTCTAGTGGTATGATTCTCGCTTAGGGATACAAACCCAAGCATATCTGCGAGAGGTCCCGCGTTCGATCCGCGGCTCGGGCCTTGTCTTCATTTTTTTTGCATTTATTTTTCTTTCTTATCCCACATGTAGGCATCTTCTTGTATCGATAGGGACTTGAATCTGCGTTGTGAGATGAATAAACTTCCCGACTTTCGATGAGAACTGCATACCACGTACACCATGGAACCTTAGACCCAATGGCTGCCACCAGACCATCCCGTGGTAGGCGAACCAGTGCCGAGGTTGCCGTGCCAACCACGTCTCTTCGTCCATCCATCAACATTATCTAGACCACCTGCATAGATATATCCAGCACCAGCTCACACGCAGGTACACCACACCTACATCTGCAAGTCCGCAGACACCACATACCGAACACAGGCATCACAGCAGGTGCATTCTGACATCTCACTTCCTGTCCTGCAGGAGCGGGAGGAGGAAGAGAAGCACTTGATCGTGTCTTGCCATCACCAGCAGCCGCACCGCACGAGAAGACGAGACCAGAATGGCTCGACTCAACCCATCCAGTCCCACGAAGCCAGCAAAGCTCCAAGAGCGCCGGACACCTCCACGGCAGAGGACTCTCAATCGTACAGCGACCATCAAGCGCGACACCAGAGACAACAAATACCCCACGACAGCAAAGGCCAAGACCGTAGAACAGTGGGCCGCCACCGAGACATGGACAAAGAGCCGGTACTCCGCGACAACGCCAGCGATCGAAGAATCGTCGCAGAGGAAGAATAGTAACAGACTACAACGATCGGGAACTGTTTCCAGTGGGGTATTCGATATCTTCTCGGACAATGGGGATGAGCAGAGTGAAACGGAGGACAGCAGTTTGTCGTCTACTCGGTCTTTGATGTCGAATGAGGGACGCACTGCGGATCCTTTGAAGCTCTCGCAAGTCAATTCTTTGTTGCTTCCATTGTCGCAGCAGTCGCGGAATAATAGACCGCCGCGCAAGTCGGTCGGCTATAACTATGACAAGGAAAATGATCCGATTGATGATGAGGCAGAAGAGGCTGATGAGAGTTCCGGGCTCTCGAGAAACTCGTCTACTGCTTCTAACCGGGCGCCTACGCGTAGTACGAACAGAGAGGTACAGCCACGAGGCAGGTCCAGGACGAGGTATATGGGCTATCGTCGAGAGGAGACGGAGTCGGAGGGCGAAGAAAGCGAAGATGATAATGGCTTTGACTCACTGGATGATTTCATTGTCAGCGACAATGAAGACATCAGCTATCATGAGACGTCCGACGATGAAAGCCTCGAAGAAGAACCAGAAGAGAAACAGCCAACCCCTTCGCCGCCTAGGACTAGAAAGAGACTGCTTAGGGGCAGACGACCCCGTCCAGAAATAGAGCCAGAGACAACACCTCAGGATTCTCCGCGTGAAAGCCTTCACTTGGAACCTTCAGTGCCTGCTACGATAACAATCGAGGTCCCCAAGCTCGAGGCAAAGCCTAAGAGGTTGTTTCAAAGCGAGCTCGAAATATCCGAAAAGTTGAACAAGCTGATGCTGGACAACAAAGACATAGAGCCTAAGCAGGAAGAGGAAAACACTTATGAGTGAGTAGAGATGGAGACCCCCAGCCACCCATATATGTATTAACACCAAGCAGCAGCATCGAAGAAATAGACGCCCCCACCAAGAAGCTCCCATCAAGGAGCAGTGTTAAACTAGAGACGCCCCCATCTAGTCCAACAAAGGGACGCAGTCTACGATCTCCAACCAAGCTGAAGGCCCACATCCCACCAACACCACACCGAGAGAGCGTCGACGCATTCTGGAGCCAGGAAAACACCAACAACTGGATCGACCAGCACTCTCCGTGCAAGATCGACGATCTACTGCGCGAATTCGACGACTCGGACTCGGATGATGAATTCAGTGACAGGGATACTTTGCCCAAGACCGTAACAACGAAGACCACAACCAAGTCCTCAGCAAAAACACCCAGCAAAACAGCTATGAAGAAGGCCGAAGCGGAGCAGAGAAAGCTCGAGCGGGAGCGCGCAAAGGCATTTATAGAGAACAGACAAGCCATGGCTGAGAAATTCTTCAAAGTCCTCGACGACACCGTGACTGACGGCCGACTCTCAAGAATGACCGCGTCGACAGGAGGCGTGATCATCGAATGGAAAAAGCGACTCCAAACGACCGCCGGTCGAGCATCCTGGAAATGTGTTACCCCGTCACCAAAGAAGGGAGGAGACCCGGCCATGCCACCTCAGCATTATGCTACCATCGAACTGGCAGCGAAAGTCGTTGACTGCGAAGAGCGGATTATCAAGACGGTCGCCCACGAGTTCTGTCATTTGGCGAACTACATGATCTCAGGCGTGCATGACAACCCGCACGGCACTAGTTTCAAGGCATGGGCCAGCAAGTGCAAGGAAGCTATGAAGAACCATCCTGTCTACGGTGGGAAAGTCGAGATATCGATCAAGCATGACTACGCCATCGACTATAAGTACGTCTGGCGCTGCGTGCACTGCAACTTGGACTACGGACGTCACTCGAAGAGCATTGACCCCAAGAGACATCGGTGCCGGTGCCAGGGCATCTTGCAACAGATTCAACCCAAGGTGAGGAATGTGTCGCCATTGAAGAAGTCGGTGAACGCGCCAGCCCCAAGCGTCAAGGGACTATTGAATGAGGTGGGCCGCGTGTTGAATGAGACGCAGAGGCAGACGTAATTGGAGATTCCTGTCAAGTGGGGGGACATGGGGATGTTGATCTAGTAGGTATAATATTTGATGTATGTCATGACTGACGGTTGAATGTCTTGTTATTAGCGATCATGTACATACATACAGCTTGTTGTTTCATTTCGTTCTTTTTCTTTTCTCTAGGTGTACAAACAGACCAATCAAGATACATACACCGATTACTGGGTAACCTTTAAATATTTCTGTAGTGGTCCTCTTAGATATTATGTAGAACTATCTATCTAAGTAACAGTACCTAGCACGCACACATAAGAATGGTATCATTCCTCCACCCCCAAAAAACACCACAAGGAAGAAAGAAAGAAAGAGGAAGGGAATCATCCAAACAAATCCCACTCCACAACCACCAACCCATCACCACCAAGCAACCCCTCCACCACCCCCCCAACAACCCCTTCCTCCTCCCTCAACCCCTCCTCATCCCCCCTCCCTTCAAACTCCTTAACAGGCACATTCCCCCAAACCACCAAATCACTCCCCTGCTCCTCCAACCTAACCACCAAAAACGTACATCTCACCGCATCCTTACTACCCTCCTTCCCCAACTCCACCCTCCCCGTATACACCCTCCCCGCCCCAGTCCCCTCCCTCCGGCCCACACTCGTAATGGGCGTGCGGAACCGAATCGTCTCTTTACCGACGGTGTCATTCTCCTGGATGTCCAGGATGTGGTAGAGAATGGCGGCTTTGTCGAGGGTTTCTCTTCTTCCATCTTGGTTTTGAGTAGTGAGGCCGGTGGCGGACGCGGATAATTCGCTGTGCTTGGATAACGTTTCTTGGCTTGTGCTGTCGGGCACGTATTCGTTGATTTCGTAGATTAGGGTTGAGAGGGTTGTCGGGGAGAGGTAGAGTTCTTGGTGGTCGGGGATTTGGCGGAGGTTACTTTTCATTATTTCGTAAGTATTGGGAGCAATGGATGGTTAGGGGTGGGATGGAAAGGGAAGGGGAAGGGAGGAAGGTATGTACCTAGCATCTAGCCAGCCCTTGGGGATGAGGCCTTTAATGGCGCCGCCGTAGAGGGGTTGCGGGGTGTATGTTGGTGGTGGTGAGGTCATGGTGGGACGTTTCTATGATATGAAGAATTGTCGAAGGGATATGTGGTGTGGGTGTGTATGCGATTGCTTTTATGATCAAAGTATATGAATATTTATGAGAGGATAGGAAGGAGGAAAAGAGGTATGTTGTAGATTGTTGGTATGATGGAGGAGAGGAAAAGCTCAGTTGCTGCGCGGAGCGGAACTTTGATTGATGGTGGGGGCGGGGTGTTCGGATGGCCGGCCGAGGAACAACTCTACTTAGTACTACTTATATTTTGGTAGAACTGAAGACATCAAATTTGACATATTGATGAGGAGGTGATAATGGTATTTTAAAGGGGTCTGTCATATGGCTGGAGAGTGTGTATATGTTTTTCATCCCCAATTCTGGTATGCATCCCTGACAGATGGATATATATTTTTCTACCTCCAACCCGAGATAGTACCTGTAGTTCTAAGTATCAACAGCCTCAGTTATTCTACGATGTAAATATAAGCACACTGATTGGGGACACTAGTACGGAATTCGATTAATGCTACCAGGTAAATAAGAGTACTAGGTGCCATAAACTGGTATGGACGGACACAGTATACTTCCATAGTTGGACCTAGGCTCAGCAGTAGTCTCGAGAATGGTTCAATTTGTTGCATCTTCATCTCAAGCTCCTATCATCAACTAATATCTTCATAAAACCACCAGCATCTTATAATTCTGAGAGGAATAACAATCTGACCTGCCAGCAGCAACAACTAATGCAGTAACCAAAGTCTACATATCCAGCAGCTCCTCAATATACTCATCCAGCGCAATCATCCGAAATCGGTTCCCCCATTTCGCCCGGAATTCCTTCCGGCGATAAGCATAGCTCGTCACTTGGCTGAAGCTGACCAGCTCTACGGCCCAGCCCCGACTCAGCGCCCGCTCTACCATCTTCATAAATCCGCCCGAGAATTCGGCTTCCGCCGCGTCTCCCGTGGCTAAAACGATGGTTGCCGGTTCGTCCGTGTCTAGCAAACTTTCGAGAATCTTCAGATGCAGAATTTCGTCAACACCCTGCTCAACCCAGCGCTCCTCTGATGCTTCGTTCGTTTCTGAACCGCTACCAGGGTCGTGAGCGCCAGCTCGAGGATTCTTACGGAACCGCATTTGACGAGGAGTCATATGCTTGACTTTGTGGACCCGGTCGAGAATGTTGGCTTCGTAACCAAGTTGTTCGCCTTCGGTGATGGCTGCAAATCGATCCGAGCCCACCAGGACTCGTTTGGCGGTGGGCCGGCCACGCTCGAGGATTAGAGAGAAGTTTTGAAATGACAAAGGCAATCGACGAATCCGCGTCTTCACCGGGATTTTCCGCGATAGCTTGACCGTATCGTGAAATCCAACCATGATCTGGCCCAGTTAGCACAAACAACACCATTAGTCTTGAATATACATACATTGGACATGTCAACAAAGACATGGATGGGACGGCGGGTGACATCCGTCTTCTTAGAGTTCAAAGGCCGTCCGACTTGGGTTACGGCATCTGCATAGTCGGGGAAGTTCTTCAAAAGCTTAGTCAAGAGACCGATCCTCCGATCAGCCGTAGACCTATATGCAATAGGCTGTACGCGTAGCGTGCCAGTGTTGGAAGGGTTCTTCACAATCTTCGGCGGAGATGCCTCCATCGACTCATCATAGGAGGAAGGCGGCGTCTCATATGGATCAGACATGGCACCCGCCGTGCCGACCTGCGGAGGGACCAGCGACGGAGTGCTTCCACTCTTGAGCAAAGGAGGATCAAAGACGCTAAGGTTGCCATCAGACTCGGCTTCCACAGCGCTCTCAGAGGTGCTAGCCTCATCTACATGCTTGCTTAGTGCAACATCTGATCTATTGGGAGCTCGCTTCCCGGCGGTGGCCTTGGCCTGCAAGTTGCGGGACCTGGAGACAGGTATAGGCTTTGACGGAGTACGGGAAGGCTCCTCATCCAAGCCTGCAGAGTCGACAGGGTCATCCAAAGGTCGTTTGAGGATTTCGATTCGCTTAGGCGATTGTGGCGTAGGGGTAGGCGTGTTTCGCTGAAGTTCACAAGGTTCAACTGGTGGGCGGGAGGCCGAGATGCTAGTACTGCCTAAAAGCTCCCAAAGAGAACCAAAGTCTCCTAGCTTCGGAGGGACCCCCTCACCAGGCCTCACCTCACGCACATCAGCAGAGGAAGCGGAGCCATCGTTGTTGTTTGTCTCCCACGTAGGCCGAACAATTGAGGCGGACTCTGGGTGGCGATAAGGAACCGATGAGCTACCAGTGCCGTAGGTCGGGGTGCGGAGGAGATTGATCACCGGAGTGAAATCCCAATTTGAAGCTGATTCAAACGATGATGGCATTACAAGTATGAGGGCGAAATTGGTGTGCAATGAGGGTGTTGATTGCCCGGCAGCAGCTGGAGCAGTGATTGATTGATAAGGCGAGCGGGGTTGCCTCCAGAGATAATCACAAACCGGCGGGCTCGCAGAGAACGTCAAGCACGAACGGAAAACGGTAGGTCAAAATCGCAAAGAAAAACAGAGCAAATAGATATAGAGCCGATCAACATGGTGGTCCAGCAGACCTAACGAGAGAGCGTGTTGGCGCCAAACGCATTGGAAGGACGAAGAGAGGGAGAGCGTCAGGCAGGACAACAGGCAGTCGGCCTGAAGGGACTCGCCGCGTGGCGGTGAACAGCTGGCCGCTTTCTGCTGGTGGCTACCGCTTGCTGTTTACATTGCACAACAAAGCTATACTATTTGCAGTCTTGCTCAATGTCGGTGTTCGCTTTAACATAGTTCCGAGAACATTCTGGCGCTAACCGCATCGAGCTACATGCGATCATGCAGACGTCATGACTAGGGCCGCCCCCAAAGAGGAAAGTCTGGACCAGATCGGCGAGGTCTGGCGCCATCCGCTTTTTCGACCTTGTAGTTTGTACACAAAACACAGTACACAGGGAATAAACTCAAATATCGTCATGCCCCGATGACGCACATGCAAGATCCGGCGTCCTGATCGAAACCGGGGTACTCCCCTCATGATGACGTTGATTCGCTGGTATCTCTTCCAGGACTGCTTCCCCCCGGTTTCACTGGCTGCATTCACGTTTATCGATGGCGTAGCTATTCACTGCCAGGATAGTCGACGTCATGGAGCAACTTGAGGACTCAGAAACTTATATAAAGACTCCTCTGCACCATCGATGAGTGTCTCTTCCATCAACAATCCAATCATCTACAAATCGCAATATCCAATCCAAAACTCAACTACATCCAACACTTCCAAGTTCTCTTAACAACCACTCAATCAACATGTCTGACGCCGGTCGCAAGGATTTCTCCACTAGTATGTCTCCTGTTCCTGCGTTCAGGCGCGCTCACACCATTTGGCTTGCGTGATACTTACCCGCTTATGCAGAGGCTAAGGAGGAGTTTACTCCTGACTCCGCCAAGTCCACCCAGGACAAGATCAAGGAGACCGTTACCGACACCGGTGATCGCGTCGCTCGCGGCTTCCAGTCCGACAACAGCAAGTCTGGCACGCAGGAGGCTTTCGACAAGACCCAGCGCTCCCACGATAACACTTCCCACGGCGGTGCTTCCGGCTCCATGTCAGTATATCCCTGACCATGTAGTGGTCAATGAGAACATCTTAACTAACAGACTCTGCAGTGGCGACAAGATCAAGGACACCCTTGGTCTGGGTAACAACTAAGTGCACAACACTTCCGAATACAATCGATCGACGAGTCATGACCAATAGCGCTTTCACTGTTCTGTGATGCATGGAATCGGAGAACGATGGGTTGGCGGCTCACGGCAGATTGTCCTTTTCATGATTTTATGAGTTGACGATACCACACCTTGATAGTATCACCTCTCCCTAGCTCAATACTAGTTGAACATTTGATAAACAGAGTCCTACATTATTTGTAGTGTAGAATTTACTTGTCGGCAAGCTTGTCAGACATAGTGTTCCGTTGCTGGGTGAGTAGGTCAAGCTCCTGTTCTAGCTCCTTGTATTGCGCCCGAGCACCAGGGATGTCGCTTGGCAGATCATGGAGCTTCTTTACCCTCTCCACTAGTGTTTCAGTGCTCTCCAGCATCCTGATCACGCTCTGCTCTTCCGCAATAACTTCTTCAAGCGTGGGTCCCTTGATCCTATTTCTCTGTAGCGAGGCAATTCGATCGTGGTATTCGCCAGCTTTGGCGCTGAGCAATTTAGTTTCTCTTGTCCATTCCGCCGTCAGCGCTGGGAGGTTGGCTGGTGTTTCATACACCTCGTTGGTCTTGAGGTCTAAAAGTTGTTCTCGCAGCGTAGCCAGCTCTCTGCCCAAGTATTCGTGTAGTGCCTGTACTCTACTCATCTGCTGCTGCGCATCGAATTCCTCCACCGTAAGTTCAATGATCGATTGGCCCAGGTCTCTCGTACTTGTGCCCAAAGCCCCTAGTACTGCCGTTGTCTCTGCCAGGTCGTCCAGGTTTCGTCTGCCATTGTCGTCAAGATTATGCTCCACCTCATCCAGTATTTCTACCTTCTGCTTTTCCTCATTCTTTTCTCGGGCTTTGAAGCTTTCAACCGCCTGCTCGCGAGCCTGGTGGAGAACGGTGGCTTCCTCATCCGCAGTATCATTGGCAGCGGCCAATGCTAGGAGGGTGCGCAGTGTATCTTCATTTCGCTCGAAGCTGGGAACTGGATTCGGTGCGTACTGACGACTGAGCCATGCATTGACATAGGCCCAATCTTTGGCCTGAATGGCCGCTTGGCGCGCTTTTGCGGGGGAGAGGAGGGGGCTATCCATGGCAATCGAGCGTGATGTTAGAAATTAGCTGGGATAGGCAAGGGTTGAATAGCCATGTAAAGGCCTAACAATCAAATATCTTGATATTTTTTCAAGGATGCGGGTTGAGGAAAGGATTAGGTTCAAAGGTTGATTCAGGTACAGGGACGGATCAACAACCCGGCCGGGGAAAGCGCTGCGCCGAATCCCGCCTCCGCTTCCATCCCGCGGGACACTCGTAGTGACCATCCCAGCTAGACAGCTCGACTAGGCCAACAGTCCCACGATGGCGAGCTATTTCCCTCCCAATGGAGTCATCTCCAGCCATGGCTCTACTCGAGCATCATCGCCAGCTTCCTCCCCGCTTTCGCCCCCCGTACATCAGCGATCCA